TTCGCCGGAACTATTGTTAAAATCTATCAGGAACTCTAGATCTCGTCGAAATCTATCGAAATACATGAATAAAAAATTTTTTTTGCATAAGTGTCGTGCTACGGGAAGTTAGCACGACATTTTAAAAAATTCGTTTTTTGACCTTAAATTGACAGAACTATTTGCGAAACCTATCAGGAACTCTAGAACTCTTAAAAGTGCTACTAGAACTCATATGTTTTTTTTGAAAATTGAAAAAAGCCGTGCCAACTTCACAGAGTCGCTCGCTACTATCTTTGGAATATGTGGAGCATGCAGAAGAGACGAACTAGCTATATAAATATGGAACACATCGAAGACAGAGGATCTCTATTGCTCGTTACAATTCCAACCACAAAAAACTATAAACCGAGAAGCTTTGTAGTAACAGAAGAATTTTACAGTATTTATAAAAAATACTTAGCCCTCAGACCACACGACATCAAAACACCAAAATTATTTCTAAACTACCAAAAAGGAAAATGCACCCATCAAGTGATTGGACTCAATAAATTTGGCAAAATGCCAACGGTCATCGCAACTTATCTGAATCTACCAGATCCTAACTCTTACACTGGACATACATTCCGTCGTACTTCTGCCACGATCTTGGCAGACTCTGGAGCAGACATACTCACACTAAAACGACACGGAGGATGGAAATCCAACGCAGTAGCTGAAGGATATGTGGACAACTCCTTACTAATAAAAAAGAATATTTCCAATCAAATCACAACCACGATAACAAATAATAACTTTCCAACTTTTCAATCAGCAAAAACAATTTACGACCAAGCACAACCATCCACATCTACAAACTGCATACAAAACGACAAAGAAAATGAACCTACAAACACTCAAACTGACACTATAGATCAACAAAATATCAACAAGAACTTAACTGAAATATTGTCTGCCTCCAAACTAAAAAGTATTACATTCTCAATAACTAATTACGCCAATCTCACAATAACTTTACCACCAAAAGAAAACTAATATTTTTTTTTTCATTTCTTTACTTTATAATAAAAAACAATTTCTTTTTAAAACATGATGTATCAAATTTATTATTCTGCTTGTAATATAATTGCAAATATTCTTTTTAATTACTTATAATACTTATACTTATAATATAATATATTATATATTTCCATTCAAATTTTTCCTTTTTTTTTTTTGAAAAAGCTTTAACAATTTATTTCTCAATTTTCACATGATTATGTATTTCTTTTATATAAAATCCATTCAACTTATACTATATAAATAACTGCAATAAATACGTCTTCCAAAAATGATAATACAACATTCCCAGGAAGGGAAAGAGGTGTTAGTTCGTTTTCGCTCGTCGAAAATTCCATAGCAATAATTTGCTTTAAACAAAAAATAAATTAGAAATAACTCATTATTTTATATATTCAACTCTATATAATTATAAATCTATTCTATGTACACTTCATAATTACTATTTAATTTTCATATATTTAATAAATCTTTATCCAACTTAATAATTACAATATTTTTATATACATTCAATACCATAATGAATACTTCCTACATTTAATTTCCCTTTCTACTAACTCTTTACATAACCTTTACTCAATCTCAAATACAATTTGTTCCAACCTACTCATTTTTCAAATAATTTATAAATAAATTCACAATTTATCTTTTCTTAACAAATTAATTACAGTATTTAATTATTAACAGTATTTTTTTTTTAAATACCACCACTCGTGCGGGTAAACGCACTCGCCTTCGGCTCGTGCGCCCACCCGCACTCGTGTGGTACACACACACACACACACACACACACAGGCACACGCACACAACTCTTCTATGCACTTGTAATACAAAATAGTATGTGTACCACGTGCGGAATTGGCTATTGGATACGAGAGCAGATGAACGCACTCGCCTTCGGCTCGTGCGCTCACCCGCCCTCGTATCCAATAGCCAACTTTCCGCACTTGATACACAATGTACTATTAATTAAGCTTAAATAATAAATAATACAATACATGAAAATTAATAACATTTGAAATAACTGATAAATTTGGAAAAATATATTATTTTAATTAAGCTTAAATAAAGAACAATACATAAATAAATAGTAATAATAAAGAATAATTAATAAATAAATATTTACCACGTTCTATCTTTCAAGTGCATAAAAAAAGTGGTAATTTTTGCTAGTTTTTAATTACATTTTCTGCGCATGCCGTGACAAATCCTTATACCTGTATCTAGGTAAAAAAACAATAAAACTTTAAAATTTGGGGTCACATTTCATAATAAAGAACAGACCGTCTGTAGTGTGGAAACGTTTCTCGTGTACATCAAATACACATTGTGTTCTTTGTAATCGGCACTCATTTCGTACTGCGAAAAGCAAGGAATTAATTACGCGAATAGTATTTTGCAATCACTTTAATTTATATTCCTTCCTTGTGTTTTGTTTCTTATAATGTCTGATTATAAGATACGTGCTTACCAGAGGAGATAATAACCATCATTCTCGGATATAATGTTATCACTATTGAGGATATAATTAACTTTCGATGCGTGTGCCAGCAATTTCGTTATGCAGCAACCACATATAACAAGTTCTTGGAAAAAAAGTTATCTCAAAGGTAATTCTTGTGGGTTGTAAATCTATTTGTTATTTCGTCTCATTAACGCTTGTCGCATAATGATTATCACTTCTGCGAAGAACGTTTATTATAAATATGTAATAAATACAAAATATTAGAAAAATTAGGTATGTTGCATTTATGTTGCATATTAAATTATTCGCTTTCATTTTTTCTATTGCTCAATAATTTTGGCAAACTCTACCGTTATATATATTCATATATAATATACATATACATATACATATACATATATATATATATATATATATGGAATGTAAACGTTAAATATAATATACTGAGAAGAATTCTTAATTTTCGACTGTCATAAATTAATAAACCAAATATTTTTCAACCGACATTCGTCAATTGATGTTTATTTAATTAATCACACAATGTTTTGACCACGGTGTTTCGACCATATAATTTTGGTCCTTTGCAAACTTAACAGTGTTATATCCCCCAAAGATATACAATAGATATAACTATTAAAAGTTAACTAATATTAAGAAATGGGTACTCGTATTGCATCCGCAATTACGACAGACACTGACCGCGTTTAAAAACGCATACGATGCGAGGTATACGCGAAATCAGAATTACGACAGATAATGACCGCGTTAAAAACGCATACAATGCGAGATATACGCGGAACAGAAATTGGTCAACGTGCAAGCAAAGCAGAAGGACTTTGAATCTGCTTCGCTTGCACCTAGATTCTCGACCGGGAAAACCTGTTGCCAGGCACCCCTTCCGATCGGGAAAACTCCAAAAAACAACGATATAAAAAGAGAGTAGAGACGCGACAGCTCGCTCAGTTGCAGACACAAATAATCGCTCTAACCACGATCTCGCTAACCGCGCGCGCACTTAGCATCGACTCGCAGTTGTGCGCGATACGCGGAGTAATAGAAAGTCAGTGCCGCACACACGATAAAGCTTCAGTGTATTAATAGTGAAATAAAATAAAGACCAAGTGGTTGAAGTTGAATAAAGAATTTTAATACAAAAAGTGTAGTGCATTTTCTACAAACACCCGACAAGTCCTGACGCCCCGGATTCCCATCCCAATTTGGCGCGACCCTTAAGTGTCTCTCCCGAGGCACACAACAACAGTAACACTTGAGAAGGTCTAAAATTATATGAAACGTTGTGTAATTAATTAAATAAATATTAATAGTTTATATGCATATCGGTCGAAAAATATTCAGTCATTAAATAATTTTTTTTTAGATTTAATTATTAAAAATGCAACGTGAAAGTGACTTGATTTATTTATTATAATGTGTATTGTTCAATATATTTAATTGCATTTTTAAATATAAAAATTATATTAATGATATATATTTGTGATAGAAGCAAACACATTTGACATTGTTCTATCGGTTCTTTTTTATAAATGACATTGAAATTACAAAAAAATTTTTATAAAAGTAAAAACATGCCAAGTGACATATACATATAAACACCGTCGACATTGTTTGTAAATATGTTGCTTTCGAAAATATTGTTCTACAAAATATTAAAAAAAAAACTTAATCTAAATATACATACACATAAGCACATTAATGTTTATTAATTGCATATAGAATAAACTTATAGAATTATGCAATATACATATTGGAATCAAAATTTGAAAAGAGAGAGAGCAGAGAGAATATGAATTAAATTACAAATTAAAATTGACTATTATATATCTTCTTTTTCTGATTAAAGTATAAAAAAAAGTGACATATATATACTCATGCTTCGAATTGTATACTTTTAAAAATTTATTAATTTGAAAAATTACTTGTGCAATCACATTGTTTACTATCATCAAAGTTTGCTGTGTGTTATCTAAATAAACTTAAATGGAAGAACTATGGCGTTATCTTATCTACATATAAATAATAAAAATATGTATTATCTTTATATCTGCATCTTACAAATAAATACAAAAAGTACTACATTTACTATATTATTTATTTAAAATAATTTTCAGATAACTTTGATTTAGAATCATAGCACATTGAAATACTTAAAGTAAACAAGAAAGCGATAAAAATATGAATATATATATTGTTGTATCTTTTTCGTAACTTATATTTCTTGTATAACTGTGTTTACATAAGCAGTCTTAAATATTATTATCTACACGATCATCTAAATAAATCGTCATAATTATATCTTTTATCTAAATATACTTAAAGCAAAATCATTTTTATCCTATCTAAGATTAATTTACATACTTTTATCTCAGCTTTATCCAGCTAATTTATAAATTAATCTTGACACAACACTAAGTATCATTATCAAAAATTTATTACAATAATTTATGGTCGTATTTTAGATGGCCCTATGCGAAGAAAAGATATGAAAGTCTTACGGAAAAAAAAAAGAAAAAATACATAAACTTTGTTACAATAGGCATAAATTCAGCGACACATGTGCGAAATTATTTGTCTCAAATTCTTTTTATGATTATTATTACAATAATGGATCGAATCAAAATTACTTCGAAAACTCAATTGAAAATGTATTGAAATTGCAAAATTTTGCAAGAGAATTCAGTGGTAATATCGATGATTATGTAGATTTATTGATAGAAAATGAAATTAATTTTGAACGTATACATGAGCCTATAGATGAGCTGAAATATATGTTTTATATTGAGGAGATTAAATACTTGTTAACACATTTTCCACAGTAGGATCTTCATATATATTATAATGCTACTATTATTACATTTTAATGTATTTAATCATTAGTTAATGCTTCAATATACATTTTTTAGAGATCGCAATTCAATCCAAAAATTTTGCAATATAGAAATGTCTCACTATGAGAAGCTATCGTCGATACGAAATGAGTTGGACAGATATAGAGATAAACCTGAAAGAGAACAGCTTTTGGAAGAAACATGTACTTTCATAGCACAACAAATTCAACCTCGAAAAGATGTATGTTACACGAATGTAAGTGCATCATTGGATACAATCGCACAAGAGGTACTGAATCGTCTAAGAGAGAAGCATCCGAACCATTCGATATTCTCCACGTCTGAAAAAACTTTTTCTTATTGGAAAACCAACAATATCGAAGATAATCATTGGGACAAAACAGAGAGTACGCAGATTATGGATACACTTCAGGAATATATATTTGGCATCTTGAACTTTCGAGCACATATCTCCTCATATGTACCCGAAGATATCAAATGGTTGTGTATAGATTATGTAAGTTATTATAGATTATAATATATATAATTATGGGCCATATATGTATACGTTATATGTTGTTTTTAATATTCTCTCGCCTTGATTAATTTATTCTGTATTATACCTGGCACAGGTTTTACAAAGTAAAGTTGGTCCGGATATCATTTATATACAATATTTCATAGCGTGGCTAGAAAACTTGGTCTACGTTGCGATCTAATAGATATTTGGTCTTGCTGCTGTATATTTTGGAAACCAGAATTGTAAGTATAGATATATATTAGATTCGACATTATCATTATTTCTCGATAATCTTTCTTTTTTTATTATACGCATACATATATAATTTTTTATTATAAAAATTTTCATATGATTAAGGTAATATTTTAATTGTTTACAGCGTCACGAATAATTTAGAAAATGCAAGATGTTTTAACATAGTAGACGATAAGTACCCGAATTGTCTTTGTGATTATCTACCATATTACAGGTGTATTGAAATACTTCGTCACGTCACCGAAACGGGAACTGAAGAGGTTGAAACTTATTTATTATTTCTATTAATTTTAAGTTATAAATATGCTTGTAAATTGACAAGGAATTAATAAATTACATTATATGTGTATATAGAAAGAAGAAAAATGTACATCTCTCATTTCTTAATTTATAATTAGATCCTTGTATACATTTAATCTTTATTCATGTTTAATTAACTTTTTTAGATGTTGGATACGATAAAATCTTTTGTTGAAATGATTATAAGCGGACATACAATTATCGATTTGGGATTAGTCAAAGTGAATATATCATCGTAAAATAAAGAGCATTGTGAGATATTTTCAGATAACAATTATGTATAATTTACAATTTTCTATAATTTAACGTGTTTAAGTGTTTAGTAAGACATTTATTCACTATATGTATATAGAAAGAAGAGAAATGTAGAATCTCTTATTTTTTAATTTATAATTAGATCTTTGTTTACATGTTATCTTTATCCATGTTTAATTAATTTTTTAGATGTTGGTTTAACAAAAAATACCGTTGTAGATTTTATAGCGGAACATAAAATAAAAGCTTTGCGATTAATCCGAATTAATTGTAATATGTAAAGAACATACGCGCACTAACAATCGCATATTAATATATAATATATATACAATTGTAAAAATATTGAACTTTGTGAATTTCTTTTAGATAACAATATGTATAATTTACAATTTTTTATAATTTAACGTGGTTAAGTGTTTATTGAGACATTTATTCATAAAAAAAATCAATTAAAGTACAAATTTTACAGTTTATGTTTTAGATTTCGTTTTAAATAGTAGAACAAATAAATAAAAACGTAAAATATGCCGTAGTTGCATAGACCAACATAATAGACAGATGTTATATTGACGCATATACATGTATATACATATATATTTTCGACTTTTGTAGATAAATACCATGCCCTATTTTTGTATGCAATGTCAATTGAATATCAACGACGAATAAAATGTATTTATCGTTCTCTGCTATATTTATTGTATTTATTAATATAAACAATAAAATAAGAAAAATTGTGATTGCAAGAATTTGACTTAGTGCAGTAAAATTTATATATTTAAAAATTTATAAAAATTAATTAATTTATGAACTTCTTTTTATTACTTTAAGTATATGAAAAATATGACCTAATTAAAATTTACCATTTATTAATATCTAATATTTTGAAACTTTTATAAACGATAGTGTTGCATTTGTATAAGTAAAAACAGGTATATTAATAAAAGACAGTGATTATTATATTTTGAAATATATATAATACTTTTGTGTTGAAGGAGACAATAAAAACGTATTAATGATATTAGATTTTGTATGACATATTGTATGATAATTGCAGATTTTAAAACTTCGTGCAAGATTCAAGCAAGACTTTAAAATTTGACTAATTCCAACAAGTTATATCTTCCTTTTATGTAGAAAATCTCTTCAATGGATGAGGCATTATTTTAAGAAATATAACGAACAACGTTAACTATATATTAAAATTTATTTAAATGTGGTAATTGTACAAAGACTTATACCAAAATTTTTTATATTATATGAAAAAATAAAAAATACATAATTGAGAAACACATGCTTAGTCATGAGACAGCAAATGTACTCCGCATTTGAGCACAGAACACATTTAATGTCATTAAAATGTAACACTTTAATTTCCGTTTCTTTGAAACTTCTGTTAGGACACTCATCTTGTATTTTATTTTTCAAAAATAAATTTATTAATTTTACAAATATGTTTCTTCAGATCGAGCGATTTAAACAATATACAATCCTCTACATCACATTATATAATAGTTTACACCCCGTATATACGCGCGAGTAAATTACATAAAATTGTTGAAATTCTTAAAATTTACACATTATTTATTAAAAAGAATGAAAAATAAACAGAAAGGGAGAGGGGAAGAAATATTGAAATATATTTCATAGTATAAATAATGTCGTAACGATACTAATAATTCGTACAAAGATATGTATTTATAAATTGGATTAAGTTTAAATAAATTTAATTAAATTGAAATTAAAAATCTGAACATTCATTTAAATGTCTGTGCTGTATTTTTTAAATTTATAAATTTATTCTTTGATTTTATTATGTGGCGCATTTATCATGATGTGAAATATTTTAACTAATTTCGTTCGACAATCGTTGACAATCTAAGGAAGAACATAAATTTAATGGAATAAAAATCATAACAAAGTTTAACATAACTATTAACGAAGAATGTTTTCATCGTATCATTTATGCAGAGGATCTCTTCGATGGATGTGGCATTATTTTAATAGGTATAAAACAATGTGGAGCATGCGATATCTGTGATAAAAATTTCATCCTATTATCTATAGATACATCTGTGATATATCGTATAAGAATAAAGCATAAAGAAATTTATACATAATGTTTCAAGTGTGAGGCCTTTTTATTCTATATCAGAAAATATATTAAAATCAGATAATTGTACAAAGACTTACACCAAAATATTTTATGTATCTGAAAATATAGAAAAACATAATTAAACACACATACTTAGAACAGCAAACATACTCCACACTTGGATATAAAACACATTTAAGGTCATTCTGAAACGCAAGATTTGCGACAAATTTAATAAGATAAATAATTCTTTTAAATTAATGATATTTATTTCAACTTCATAATATCTCTGCACCTCTCCAAATGCTACCAAAGAAGTAAGTGAAAAACCGATAAATATAAATATTACTATTTAGTTTTTCTTTAGTGATTAATATAAACTTTTGAAAAATAAATGAACAAATATACTTAATGAATAAGAAAGTTAGTCTCGAAATAAACACGGGTATGCGAGCCGAACGCGAAGGTTTGTGTTTTAGATAATAAAAATTAATTTTTCCCCTATGTCTTATAATTGTGCACGAGGCACGAAATTTGCTTAGCATAGTGCTAACAATAAGACTATTTAAGAATAAATCTCAACTTGGTTCTCAATTTTAGAATCTCTATTTTAATCCTAAGTTCCCGATTAAGCAACTTCTGGACCGATATATTTTGCTTTTCTACATCTTTGTAGGGGGATCAGAGAGAAACATAAGAATTAAAATCTCGAATTGAGATTTATTCACAAACATCCGCGTTGAGTTCGCATAGTCTGTACGATTATTCTGACGTATGATAATTAAATCGAAAATTAGTTTTGCATTAATCCTTTCAAGAAAAATTGAATAATGTAAAATAGATATTTTCTATAGTCAAAGAGTGCATGATATATTATCTTCCTGTCACTTATTCTTTAATTGCATTTACTAATCTTTACAATCTCCCTTTCGGAGAATCGAGGATAAATACGCTTGTTGTTTTTTCTCTTTATAGTAAATTGAAGAGAGATTCCGGACCGCATTTCGAGAACAGTATTCTTTTACAGAAGGACGCAGAAGTAGGAACGATATTATTAGTTTATTTAATTTAAATATATAATTATTTATATAATTAATTATACAAAATATTAAAAAATTAAACCGATAAATTGAAAAAAAGACTTCAAAATCTTTGGTTAATACTATTTTTCTCTACATGTTTATTTATACTGAGTTTTATATTTGTAACATTAAATATGTTACAATATGTAACATTAAATATGTTGTTAAATATGAAATGTAACATTAAATATAAAAAACGTGTATTTGATTTAAATATTAATATATGTTCAACAAATGCATAAAAATAATTTTCTCTTTTTACAGTAAATGATCAAAATTTCCTCCAATAACTTTATTACAGATGATAAACTAAAAAGTCACAAACTCGTATTTCATATGTAGTACCTATCAAAATTAAACATTATAGAGAAAATTAGTATTAATAAAAAATGTTAATTTTGAAGTCTTCTTTCTCCTTGTGTCGATATAAGTTTTTAACATCCTGTATAATTAGAAAATAATTTTCGAATTTCGTCATTT